TTATAAGGGGCATTCTAGATAAGGGCCCAGATCCCGAAATGCATACCACAGGCCCTCAGAATGCATATTTGGAAATGCATGTTCACGGAAATGCATATTTGGAAATGCATATTTGGAAATGCATGTTGTCAAGAATGCATATTAGGAAATGCATGTTCACGGAAATGCATATTGGGAAATGCATGTTACGAAATGCATGTTCACGAAAATGCATATTGGGAAATGCATGTTCACAATGATGGCCCCGAGGCTCAAGGTGAACGACATGTACACGGTGCGAGCTCACATGAACCGAAGAAGTTCTGGCCAACAACGGCCGGCGAGTGATGATACCATGTCTGCACGGTCCGACTGTCCTTTTGCAGAACTGCCCGCGAGGCGAAGGTCTTTGTTAGTTGCAGATCCGACGTGGCAGCTTTTCGCTGATCTCTGCACAAAAGTTTGGCCACTAAACAACCACTGGCGACCACCATATCCACTGTCAAGCTCGCTACCGTAGCTACCGCTAAGTAGTATGTGCTCTTGATGCTATTGCTACCGGGCTAGCTAGCTAGCTAGGGGGCAGCTAGTACAATGTGCGACAGAAAGCAAATCGTATGAGAGTCGTTATCACAACGGTTTTGTGTAGTGCGAGGCAACTATGGCAATGGTAACTATGAAGCACACGCGAATACACTGCACTACACATTCAGAAAGCATCCTGGTCCTAAAAGCACCATCGCACCAGCCGCCCCGATTTCACATACAACAAGCAGTCGCCGATGGAACGAGTGGCTGGACAGCTAGCAGCTAGCCACTAGCCGCTGCCCCCTGTCAGCAAGCCCTTCAGGCATTGCCAGGCTTTGTACCCATCAGATTCTGTGCCGCATCCCAAAGTGCAGGCTGAATCATGCTGTCATCCAAGCCATCTTTCTTGCCAACAATGGCAGCATGCACATCCTCAAGCACTCGTTTTGCCTTGACCACTTCGTCTTGAGGCAACTTGAGTGCAAGTGCAATCACCTGTTCGGCGAAGATCACACGGCCCTCCAAAAGCAAACGCCTTGACTCGTTGCAAACTGTCTTGAGGTCCTCGAGGCTCGATGCCAGCTCGTGCTTGCTGAAAGCGGATGCCTGGCACGTCTCCTGGAAGGCCACGTTGTCAGAGGTCTCCTGCCGGCGGTGTAGTTAAGATTCCAAGATGCGTGTTTGGGGGCTTGCATTGGGTTTCGGGCTGTGGCTACGGCTGCGGCGAGGTAGGGTTGTGATCAGACAAGCTCACACAGACTAGATACCCGGGGGCTTAAGGCTTTAAGGCTTTAAGGGCTTAGAGCCTAGGGGAAGGCCCCGAGAATAACAACAACATCGCATCGGTGTTAGCTGTTAGCTACTGTTGGCTGTTAGAATCAACCGGAGTTCAGGATATGGGTTTGGGTATATAGTAAGTAATGGCTCGTTATTGCTCAATGGCCCTAATGCCCTATCTATCTAATGACTGCCTGTGCTCGGCTAGTCGGTGGCTAGTGGGCTAGTGATAGTGGCTACTCAGTGAAGTCACGGCTCGAATTGTCAGCGGCTACACTGCTGAACTGAATTCCATTCAGCATTCTCTTCGTTCGTAGGGCAAATTTAGTGACAAAGATCGGAAGTGCATGGAAAACGACTAGTTACTAGTTGACTAGTTACGGTTGAATACTGTATCTGTAACAATGGCGCTCAGACCGAATGACAGATGACAAACGACACCGACACTGATGCTGGAAGGATTGCGGCTGCGGGCTGTTGCCAAAGAGATGTCGAACACATCCCAAATCCGTCGAGACATGTCCTCGAATTCGGCATGCAACTGCAATGGCAACTGAATGTTGTGTTTACCGTCTGTTGGTATCGACTGTCACTGTCACCAGCACTTTGGAAGTGTAGGGTCCATATGTCTATGTCAGCATCAGAGTCTACTCTACTAGGTCCTAGGTCCGAGTCGAGGTCTATGACGTCTATAAGTCTATGGGAATTTCACACGGAAAAAACAAGCAGATAATATGACTATTAACAGTTAACATAATAGGCTAACACACCAGGTCACGAGCTCCAGGGTTAGACTCTAGACGCCGAACTTCGTCAGTGACTAGTGACTAGTGAAGTGGGCAGGTAGACCAACCAGCCACTGGATTACTAAACAAGGCTTGATTTAAGCTCGTGATTCCACACTGCCACACTTCTAGATTCTACTTTGCACACTGACTGTGAAGAGATACAGTCTATGTCTATGCCGAGTCTATGCCGTCACTACACTACGGTCACTTCACCCCTCTTAGTCTTAGTCACTAGTTTTAGTCTTGGGTTTTGGGGGTCAACATCCGGTCTCCTGGCTGATGCCATCGAGCAGCTTGCCCAAAGCTGCTCCACGCAGCGGCAGGGCGACGATTGTCTGCAAAGCGAGTTCCAGCACTGTGCTGACGGAGCTGGCAGGGTCAATGCTCTTCTTCCAGCATTTCTCCCCCGTGACATTGCTTAGCACGGTGTCAAGCTCCTTGAATCGCTTTCGCAAGCTTTCATCGCGCACACTCAACACACGAAGCATGCCATCCACAATGACGTCACTCGTGAGGTGTACATCAAAGCATCCTGGACTGTCCACCCCCAGCAACTCCAATGTGAGCATCTGGACTCTGCGTGGCTCCTTGTCCTTGTCCTTGTCACTGTCCTGAGCCTCAGGAGCAGAGTCCTTGTCCTGCACATCCTTGGCTTCGCTGCCCTCCACTGGCACCAAAGCACCTGCGAGGCCCATGAGATCATCAGCAACCTCCGCCTGCGTCGAATCCGTGGCCTTCTGCTGCGATGCCCTTGGTTCCGGCTCCTCGTCCATCTCATTCTGGATGCTCTCGGCCAATGCCTCGAACGCGGTCCGGAGCTGTACCACGTTCTGTTGAAACCCAGAGGAGGTCTTCAGCACACCCAGTAGGCCCACATTGTTCTTGTCACGAGAGAACCTCATTTCCACGTCCTTGCCGGTCTTTTCGAAGTCGAAGATGGAGCGTGCGAGGGCGGCACCTGACTTGAGCACGATGGCATGCGTCTTGATCGCCTTGGCCCGCATGTCCTGTGCATCCACGACCAGTGCTGCCAAACCATCGATGAGCCCCAATCTTTTGATCATCGTCGTCTGTGACAAGCGCCCCTGCTCCTGCTTCACCTGACAACTCGCACAAAACCCACTGCCAAACTCGACTTTTCTGGTTGCATTTCCTGTCCTAGCAGTCCTACTGTCCTAGTCCTAGTCACTGCAGCACACCGGTGTTAGGGCCAGTAGCAGCAGCAGCTTCAGTAGCAATAGCTCAATAGCTCAGTGGCAACCAACCAGCAGGACCACTGGTGACCACCGTGAATGCTGTCTGACTGCTCGCCATTGAAACACTGGAACACTGAAACACATGACTGAAAGCACTGTCAGTATAGCAGCAACAGGTAAGAGGTACCAGGTAACCGTTAACAGGCCACCGGGTTTGCAGTGTGAGAATCAACAGCAGTAGCAGCACACTTCACTACCAGGTCGCCGCCAGCCAGTGGACACCCCGAGCCTTACAAAAGGCTCTACGTTCTTAGAGTAAAGAATCGTTAAACCTACCTAAAGTGTTAAGCCAAGTGGGTGTGAAGACTCACTGACTCTGGAGCAATGGAATTTCACGACATGTCGCACCTCCTTCAGCAGTGTGCGGAAGCAGCACACGACAAGCGAGAGCACTGCCTCGTAGACGTCCTCCGTCTTCTCGTCACTCTGGAGCTTGCGCAATCGGGGCATGAGCGCTTGGACCTTTGCGAGGTCAGCCAAAGCGTTGGCTTCGGAGACAGCGGCGAGGTCCTTGAGGTCCACGAGAGCCATGGATTGGGCACTGTCGTTAGCCCACTCCTGAAGCTCCTTCATGATGTCGGCCACACTGCTCTCGTTCTGGAAGATACTCAAGCATTTCAGCAATGCTTCCACATCACGGCTTCTCACCCCACTGACTGAGCCATCCAGGACCTTCCGGCTGTGATCGCAGAATGCATCCTTGGCTTTCCGGTTCAAAGCTTGCACGTGCACCTGTCGCAGCCCCTCACCCAGCTCCACAATCTCGTCGTGAAGACCTGCCAGCCGGTCTGCTGTGAAGGGCACCTGCCCGGAACTGAGCTGCTCGATTGAAGACATTGTTCTCAGAAGCTGTGGCTGCAATCTTGTTGTGCTGCCAGCAGTCCGCACGATGTCTTTGCAGACAGCCCTCCAGTCGGCCTCGCTGTCCACAACATCCCGGAATGTCTTTTCTGGGAAAGTGATGGGCACCTTCTCCACCAACCAAGTGAAATCAGCACTCGTGATGGGTTGCATGGGCTCCGGAACCTCTAGGGCCAAGACGCATGCCATGAGCCGCAGCATCTTCTCACATCGATCGAGCACGGAGCCCATCTCCCCCCATTGCTCTGAGAGCATGTCCTCGACGTCCCGCTCCTTCAGAGCCTCATGCGCCTCCTTCGCCACAGACACGCCCTGCAGCATGGAAATGACGAAAATGCTCATGCCCTGCTGGAAATTCAAGAGCTCTTTGAAGATGTAGAACAAGTGGTTGCAGCTCAGAAACTCCAACAGCATCGTTCCGGCATCCTAGCAACGATAATGCAGTTACTGAGTTACTGTGTAGTTGTACAGCACTGCGCTCGCACTGGACTGACCTGAAAAACTGGGCCTGCTATTACTCTGTCCTACTGACCTGTCTTACCTCGCATACTTTTGCCCTCCCTCCCTCCCTCCCTCC